CTTCACGAACCTCCAAGTTCCATTCTTTTGAAGAAATTTAATCTCTTCAACCTTTGCGCTCTCCAAAGATCACAGTCTGGACTCTTCAACGTTTTTTGTAGTGAGAAGGAATTTCTGTCTATGTAGTTGAAAGTTTAAATGCAACATGATCTTTCAATCAAGCTGGTTTTGGGATATTTTAGTACCTGATCTTGTTCTTAGCAATAGATTCCTGAGCAGGAATCTCAACATCAGCATCTTCTTCTATCTCCACTTGAGAACTATCAACAGATACCTCATGAGCTGCAAATGAATCAGATATCTTAGTAGGATGGGACAAGCTCTGTGAAACAACTGAAGTTGCATTAAACTCTAACTTCAGCTGCATATCTGTGGTCCCAATAGAACTCTCCACTTGCTTTAAGTTCTAATTTTTCAACAAGCTTGTCTCGTCGTATGTAACATCACTGTTAATGATAATTTTTCTTTCTGACATATCATGCAACTTGAAGCCCTTGACTCCATATCTGAATTCATTAAAGATCACATTTTTTGCTCGTAGTTCCAACTTATAATTTTGAACGTGTAGTAAATTGGGCACCCAAATACTCGTGTTAATAATCTCTAGTAGGATGCCTTTACCACATCTACTTTGTGGTCATCTTCCCAATAGCCGCAGAAGACGAACAGTTTACCAAGTGAAACATATTCTATGGTCTCGATCTAATAGAGATTCAACCCAGCATTGGATAACATACACCGAATTTTTTTATCGATGTCTGTTTCATCCTTTCTGCCACCTCGTTCTGTTTTGGTGCCTCTCGAATAATGAAGTGTTGCTCCATCCCACCTCTCTGACACTCTTGTATTTCCCCCCATTGTCTGATTTGATACAGGGTTCTTTTTACCAGCCCGAGTCTCCGTTCATTTCTTCTAATTTATAAAGATCTCTAGCACTTTGCTTTTGCATTTCATAGTGTACACCTAAACATACATAGAGTCATCATCAATAAAACATGATGATGCCTTTGTCAGGGCCTAAACATCTGTGTGAACATATTCTAAAATATTTTTTGAACTGTTGTGTTCTTTCCAGACATAATGTTCACAAAAATCACATTTGTAGATGCTCACTCCTTTGATTAATCCTTTTATCACCAAAGTTTAAAGTGAAACTTCTCTAGCATGAGTAGCTGCATATGCCACAAAATAGTGGTGCCGGAAGAATTATCAGCAACAACGGTCATTTAAGTCATTGTACTAACTTGAAGATAGTAATTGTTGTGATGACGAACTCTCTATATAAAAATCATTACTCCACAGCATATCCTCAAAACTCCTGTATCGATAACTACTTATAGCCCTTAGACTCAAAAGTTCCAATTGACAACAAATTTTTTCTGATACACTGGAAATAAGACAGTTCTCTCACTGTATTATCATGCATTCTGATAAAGATACTCCCTACACCAATATTATGACAAGTTTGTTTGTTGCTCATAGTCACAACGCCGCTATCCAATTTCTTGTATGTACAGAAGCACCCTTGATGGGGAGAAATGTGATGGCAGCACCCGTATTCAGAATCAGGCACGAACCATCTGTAAACAAACTGAGTAAGTACAGATAACATTACATTTGAGTTCGCCTCTTCAATGATATTGGCTTTCGCCTCGGATGCAACTTCAGTTTCGGACAATCTTTCTTCCAATGACCAATCTATAAACAGAAATCACACTGATTTTTTATTAAGACTACACGCACGATACTTGTCACACTTTTGAGAAGCATTGTCGTTGCCACATTCTTTTGACCAATTCTTTTTCTTCTCAGATCTTCCACGTAGTGTAAATGCCTAATCCATTTTTGCAGACTTAGTATCTTTGATGGAACTCATGATTTAACAACATTGTAGTTACTTCACATAATTCAAGACCTCCTCCTCATGAATAAGTGTCATAATGAAGTTTTCATACTCATCCGGAAGCGAATTCAACAGAAGAAACACATCGTCTTCATCTCCAATCTTCTCATTCAAATTTAATAAATCTGCCAACAACTTAGTGAAGTCATTCAAGTGCTCATCAATAGTAACCCCCCCGTTCATCTAAAATCTGTAGTCTATGTTTCATATGGAATTAATTCTCAACGCTCTTCATGAGAGATATTTTTTCTCCAGCATCCTCCACAATTTCCTTGCAAAAATCTATCTTCACCCCATGTTTGAATTTTTCCGGGTCAAGTAATTTCGAATTAAGCCACAAACACTTATATTCATCTCCAACCAATCTCTCTCTGACATCTCTTCAGGATATTTCTTGCTATGTAGGGCTTTCTCCAGATTTAGAAAATATAGTTTATCCATAACCTCTCATTATCACATACCAAAGTTCTCTTTGCCATCAAATTTCATTACATTAAATTTTGACAGGATGCATAACCACATGATGAATTGACTTTTTAGAGATTTAAGGAATATTCCTTTAAAAGTCAAATTGAACTTCCCTTTTAGCTTTTCTGTTTCCAAAAGAGAACGACTGCTTCTGCATGATGTCCAATAAGCTTTTGTTGTGCCTATTGCCGTCGTTATGCTGAACTGCACGCCGTTGGAAGCTGTACCACGTTGGATCCTACCAGGTAGTCGGAACAAAGCCTGCACGAATTTGTTGGTGAAGCTGCCAAACCACTCTTGCAAAAATCGTCGACAAATCCCTCCAGAGTTGCTGCCATCGACGTTGAGCCTTGCTCCAATCACGAACCCGAAGCTATCATATCAATTGATGTGAAAACGATGTGGATGCATAGAAATTCACATAACAACAATGAAACAGAGAAGATTTACGTGGTTCGACGTTAAATTAATTTGTTTACGTTCACGTGGAGGGAAATTCCACTAGCACTGGATGAGAAAAAGGAAATGAATTACAACTCGGCTGGTCTCATCTAAGCCTTAAGTCTATTTTAAATAAATATATATATATATATATATATATATATATATATATATATATATATTATATAATAAAAGAAATAAATACAATATTTTGTCTGTCGTTCAAACAAGAAGTGGAAGGGATGAAGCCTGCGTTTGGTTTCAGTGTATGAATATAGGAGGAAGTGGAAGGGTTAGGAGGAAGTGGAAGGGATGAAATCTGCGTTTGGTTTGGGTGTAGGAATATCAAATTGGGGGCATCAGTGCAGAGAGATGGAGTGGCTTCGGTGCAAGGAGCAGAGGGTTTCAGACTTCTTTGTATGCGCTCCAATAACGATGGTATCACAGTGAAGGAGTTTCGACTGAAGCGGCGTACAATGAGGAGCAAGATCGAGAGGAAATGAGATGCGACTCGGCTTCCATATTTGAACAAAAGAGGCAAAGGTGGGAGCGAGAGAGAGGAAAATGAGGCCCGGAGATGTGCATGAGTGACCGTTGTGCTTTGTGGTTGGAATGCAAAGGAATGGTGAAGGCTGTCGCAAACAGAATTTTGGCGTGCAAGAAAGTTCTAATATTAACTTAATTATTAATTAAACATGATTAATAACTTTAATAATTTTTAAAATCTTTTTAACGTAATCAGTTACTCCAAGCAAAAATTTTGCTTTGTTTTATAATTGAGTTTTAATGATTTATCTTGATATATTTTCCCATCTGAAAGATGAAAACAAACTTTGCATCAAGCATCCGCGAGAGTTCTGTAATTTATTTGCAAATAATTTTTGTATGTTTGAGGAATATATGCCAAGAACTGCACTTTCTGAACTACGAATCTATTTAAGTTCTACTTCACATACTGAACTGTTAATCAATTTGAGTTCCACTCAGAATTATTATAATATAATCTATTTTAGATGCGCTGCACTTTCTGAACTTTGAATCAATTTAGAGTTCCACTTACAAAATTTTGCAAGCTATGAAAATAAAACCAGCATTTTCATTAGAATGGTTGGGCATACAGCTGCCAGGTATTTTTACTTCTGGGAGTATTGCCCTTGTAGCACTCAAATCTTGTTTATTTAAAGAACCGCCACCCTCTTCAATGTGTCAAAACTCCAATTTATATTTTTCACTTTCATCAAATTCCCAAAAGTTTGTTGTTGGCACAGCCAAATTTATGGGTAGTGGTGTAACTAAGCCAACCTCACTCGTGAGCAGGCTCAGGCTTGGCTCAAAAAATGGCTCGTGAGCTAATAGTTCGAGCTCAAGCTAACCCCTGCTTCGAGCCGGCTTATTTAACAAAATATTTATATAAAATCTAATAAAATTTAAAACTTTATTTTAAATTTTTAAAATACTATTTTACTTTTATATGAAGTTATTTCTTATTATTTATCTCATTTTTATTATTTTTTATAGAACTAGTTTAAATTAATAATATTTCATTTCTTTTAAAAGAATTAGTAAATTAAAGTTCTAGCTCAAGCTCGAACTGAATTAAATGATTAAATGAAACTTCAAGCTCAAGCCAAGGTGGCTTGAGCTCGGCTTAGACACATTTGCACCCCTATGCAGGGGTGCATACTTTTTTAAAAGGTGGATGTCAGATCTGTGAATAATCGCCATTTGGAAGGTGTACCGCGACTTCCCATGGAATGCGGCAATTTTTTTGTGCAGCACCTAAATATTCTGTTTTATATGCATAATTTTCTCTTAATTTTATTTAGTTTGGCTACTAGAAGACCCGTTCAATATATATCTTCTGACACGTCATGATGTTGGTCCCTGCTGTGTTGCTAACGGATTACATATTTGTCTCCCGAAACCTCTTTTGGGAATAAACATGAACATACTCAACATCCAAATTCTGTCTTGATTGAGACCACCTTTTCCCTAGGCCAACATTGGAGCTTTCTTGATTAGTCTAAGTGTTCAATTTGGAAAAGAAGACCCCACTGGAGTTCCCATTTTTCTGGTTGAGATAAATTCTGCCATCTATCTACTTGCTAGCTATGAACATTATAATATAAAGTAGTCAAAACAATTCCTGTTGTCAAGTAAAAAACGTATTACTGGCTTTTGCTTGCAGGGGATAGATATTTGAAACCATGGATAATTCCTGAGCCGGAGGTCGTCATCGTTCCTCGTGCACGAGAAGACGAATGCCTAATTCTAGCCAGCGATGGATTATGGGATGTTATGTCCAATGAAGAGGCCTGTGAGGTTGCTCGAAAGAGGATTTTGCTGTGGCACAAAAGGAATTCTGGCATAACTTGCTCAACGCGAAGGGCTGTAGTGGCGCATCCTGCCGCGCAAGAAGCTGCAGATTACCTCTTGAAACTCGCACTTCAGAAGGGTAGCAAGGATAACATCACTGTGGTTGTGGTTGATCTCAAAGCACACAGGAAGTTCAAGGGCAAAACATAAGTAGGTAACTTTTCTCGTTTTTTTATTCTTCTGGAACTCGGGTTTACTATATAGCCAGTAAGTTTTAAATTTTTGCCCATTCTGTCTTTTTTTCGTTTGGGCTGTAAAGTTTCACTAGGTATATTACTATTTTATGCTGATATAGGACGGCAATTATGATGTATGATTTGAGTTTTTACTCACCATGCGTTTGGTGATGGAAATTCAAATTCTAATACTGGTGTTCAGCTCTTCATTGTAATTGATATAAATTATGCTTGGACATCTTTTGTATATCTTTTATGAAAATGTATGTTTAATTCGACATTTTACTATTCATAAGAGTCGTTTCAATGCTATTTTTTATTTTAAGGCAGGTGTTTGATTGTGCATTCTAAAAATTTATATAGTATGCTCATATCTAAATGTTGAATTTGGCATGCTTGAGTTATTCTGGAGTGATCTGTTTATCGGGACTATGATCTCAGCTTCAAGTTTTTAAATGATGATGGTACATCTTTCAGATATTTTATTGATAAAAAGGAAAAATTACGAAGAGTTCTTAGGGGGGCTACATAAGGAAGATCAAGTTCATTCCGAAATATAAAAAAATGTATATTAAGAAGCAACATACCTTGCAAGCTAATCAGCAGGACCGTTTCCTTAGGAATGTAGGGCAACTGTACTTTTGAAGTGTGAAATCAGAGCTATCAGCACCAGCAAAAGATGAGTAAAGCTGCCATCCACATTAATCTTCATCAATATAAAAAGGGTTTCTTTTCCAAAAATTTAGAGAAGGGCCGTGTTTATCAGAAGATAAGCAAGGAGCAGATTTCAGCACCATAGGCAGTGAAGTGGTGCTTGGCCCATTGCCCTTGCTGAACTTTTTAATTCTGTAAGTACCAAAAATTGCAAGGAGAGAGAGATGATAGAATCCATCTTATCATGATATATCTGGGATTGAACCTGTGACGTGAGGGGATCTATAGTGAACCCCGTCAACTAAAAGACTATGGTTTGCAATATAACATATACATAAATATATATATATATATATACATATATATATATATATATATATTTATTG